TTTTGTCCAGTCATTCAAGGTTGGTAAAATATTTCAAAATCAATGCATTTTCCTACATTAACAGAACAAGGAAGAGATCATTTGATCATGTTAGTAGAAGCAGAAAAGGCTTTGTTAACATCAGTATTCATGCATAATAAAAGCTCTTAGCAAACTAGGAATAAAAGGGAACTTTCTTAAGCTGACAAAGGGTAACTACAACAAACCTACAGCAAATGTTGTTTTCAATGGTGAAATGTTGACAGATTTGCCTTTGAGATCAAGAACAAGATTAAAATGTCCATTCTCATTATTTCTGCATGACCTTGAACTAGAGGTTTAGCCAGTGCAGTGAGGCAAGAAGAAGTAAAAGGTATTAGGATTGAAAAGGAAGAAATAAAACTCATTATTTGTATGTGATGTGATTGAGTATGTAGAAAATCCAAAATAATCAATTGTGAGAATTAACAAGCGATTTTGGCAAGATCGTTGTCTATGAGGCCAGTATAAAACATGATGAAAAATAAGGAATCTTAAGATCAAATTGATATACCAGCAAAGTGGGAAATTAAAACAAAAATTAAAGGATACCATTTATGATATTAGATGGAAGCTATTTACACAGAAAATTATACATAATTTGGAGAAATTAATGAAAATGCAAATAAATGGGGGAACACCCACGTTCATGTATTAGAAGCCTGAATATCATATAAGTGTCACCTCTCTCAGAACTGACCTATAGATTCAATGCCTTTCTAACCAAATTCACAAGGGGTGGAACTTGGTAAATTTATTCTAAAATGTATGCAGAAAAGCAAAGAATCAAGAGAGTGAAGCACTCTTGAAGGAAAAGCACAGCATGGTGGCTTTACTGCACTGGATAACAAATTCTATCATAAAGCTGAAATAACTAGGGTGGGGTGGTGCTGGGGCAAGGACCCAGAGAAAGATTAATAGGGCAAAAGGAGTCCAGAGACAGATCTACACGCATATGGGAGCTTGGTTTATGGCAAAGGAAGAAAGACGTGCCTTTCAAATGAATTGTTTATGGGACAATTAGATGCCCATATATCCACATGGAACAAGTGAAATTTGACCTCTCCTGTGCTCCACGCACAAGAGTCATCTAGTGTAAAACGTGAAATAATCAAGTGTCAGGAAGCTAACAGACAGGTAGGCACCCGGGACAGGAAGGAGCTGGAAGGGGGTGGTTACCACCGAGCGGGGTTGTTGGGAGCCTGTGGGGGGGATGTGGCAGTGTGGGAGGCTGTCAGTGCTCTGGCTCTTGGGAGTGGTGATGTGCGTTTGCTTTCTGAGAATACAGATGACCCTTGAGTGACACAGGTTTGGACTCTGAGGGTCTGCCTAGACGAGGATTTTCTTGGGTAGAACAGAACAACACTGTAATCGTATTTTCTCTTCCTCGCGATTGTCTCAGTAACATTTTTTTTCTCTAGCTTACTTTCTTATACAGGACGTGATACATATACAAAATACGTGTTCATCAATGTTTTTTGTTATTGGTAGGGCTTCTGGTCAACAGCAGATTATTAGTAGTTACGTTCGGGGTGGAGTCAAAAGTTATATGTGGATTTTGACTGCATGGAAGATCAGAGCCTCTAACACCCACCGTGTCCAAGGGTCAGCTGTACATTCAAGTGTTAGGTTTGGGCACTTTTCTGTATGTGAGTCACGCTTCATGATAAAAATGATTTGAAAAAAATGAAAACGTTCCAAGCATGTCAGCTCTTCACTCGCCACCCCGCCCCTGTACTTCTTTGTGAAAACATTTCCTGGAGGAAACATTTCAACCAAAATGGAAAAGAAATGTATAAAAAGGAAAGAAATTGAATCAGGAAAAGTAGGTGTAACCCTGATGTGTGGAGTGAAAAAAAATGTCCACAGGTATGCATCATGCCGAAAATTGGTGCAACTGAGGGCTGAACAGTTTCACGGACGTGTGTCGTGTAAACGCCTCTATGTATTCTGCTAAAGTCAGAGTGTTGGCAGGTCTGGGTCCTCCTGGAGGCCCCAGGGGAGAACCCTGTCCTCCAGCTTCTAGAGACTCCCTGTGTACCCCAGCCCCTTCCTCACATCCCCCAGCCTCTGCTTCCGACCCTCTGTCTCCCACTCTGACCCTCCCGCCTCCCTCCAATCAGGACCCTGTGACCCCAGGGCCTGCCCGGATCATCCAGGATAACCTCCCATGTCAGGAGCCTTCCCTTGACCATGGCTGTGAGGTCTCCTTGGCTGTGTGTGCGGTTCCGGGGTTATGATGCAGATGGTCGGAGGGAACAGAGCAGGCACGAGGGAGCCTGGGCAGCATCCAGTGAAGGCTGGAGGAAGCAGGTGGAGTGGAGGGAGAGAGTGCAGAGTCGGACCCCAAAAGACCTGAAGAATGTGGACCAAGAGCAGGGGAACAGGCGTGTCCACATAGACACAGGGCTGGGGCAGGTGTCCCCAGGTACTGCTCAAGCCAGGGTAACAGTGGCAGGTGCCCTGCGGTTTTCCTGGCGTCTGACCCATTCCAGAGCTTCCATCTTTGGCCACCCGTGTTCTGGATCCACTAATCCCCTTGGGGGTCGGGAGGGGCCCTGGAAGGAGGATGAGGCCGTGACCCTCAGGATCTGCCCCTCCTGGAGAACCTGGCCTGGCCCTACGCACTCAGGCGGTGGATGTTTGTCCTGCTGCAGCTGTGGCCACAGCTGTCTATTTCAGCCCAGCCCTGGTCCCCTGGAGGCCAGCCAGGAGCTCACGTGTGACCCCAAGTCCTACTTTCTGGGCCTCAGTTCCCGCCCCTGTCCAATGGGGCATTTGGAGTCAGGGACCCGTGATGCTCCTTCTGGCCCTGTCCTTCCTGGATTCCAGGTGTTTGCAAGGGCCCCCAAGGCTGGAACAGGGTGCTCCTCCCTGAGGGCGCTGCCCTTGTCAGCACCCCGTTTATGGCTCCCAGGACAGACAGCAGAGGGGTGGGCTGTAAACCCAGCCACCGGTGCTTGCGTCAGGAGCATTAAGGTTGCACAACAGCGCTCGGCCCCTGGCAGGCTCTGGAAAAGTTGTTTTTCAGGGGGTGCAGCTGGAGGAGCATCAGGGAAATCAGCTCCTCCCAGCTTGGGGTGTGGGGGGCAGGGCTGGGTGGCTGGTGGAGGACGGAGGGCCTGACCGCCGCAGAGCCCACTCCCACTGCTGCAGCCCCCAGCCTTCCTGGGTGCAGAAGCCCAGAGCTGGAGTCCCCAGCACGGGTCAGCCAGAAAGGGGCAAAGCCAAGACCACACCCAGGCTGGGCTGACCCCTGAGCTCAGAGACCTGCACCTCCCACATCCTACCTCCCAGATGGACAACCTGAAGCTGGGGGGGATGGCCCTGGTCATCCAGGAGGCTGCTGGCAGGGAGTGAAGGGATGTGAAGTGACATTTGGGGCACTTTGGGGGTCAGACCCTGAACCAGGAGCCTCTATATGACATTTAATTCAGTGTTGACTACAGCAAAGCCAGTGCCTTCCGGCCGAGCCCCGCTCGTCCCGGGGAACCACCACCGCCTTGCTGTGCCCTGCCCTTGCCTCTTTCTGGCCCTGCCCTCCAAACTCAAGGGTTTCGGGGTGGCGGCAGCAGGGAAGGAGTGAAGCTGACAGTTCGGCTGCCACCGACGCCCTTGGAGGCCATGTTTGGGGAGCCCGGTCTATCCCAGTTCCAGACTTGGGGGCGAAGTCCCTGAAATGTCCAAGATCCTGGACAACAAGACCCGCTGGTGCCCTGCCCGCGGCCCCCCACCCCCGCCACCTCTGAGGTCTCCTGCCACTGCAAGGGACAGTTCTGGGCTGTCAGCCATCAGTGGTAGCTCGGGGACCTGCGGCCCTCATGCCCCTCCTCAGCCTGAGGGTTTTCTCCCGCACTGAACACAGTAGCTCAGCCTCACGCAGGCCAGCCGGGTGCCAGGACCTCACTCCCCCCAGGGCAGGCCCGCAGCCTCGATGTGGCCCGAGCGTGGGGACGAGTGCTCGGTGCACGTGGTAATCGGAGCTCACGGATTGCAAAACTGGGGTGTTGAACCAGAGCACAGCGTCCTCATTAAAAGCTGCTCGCGAGAGTTTCTGGTCCTTCTCCGGGTGTGGGTGCCAGGGGCTCTTGGGTCCGATTCTCCCCATCGCGCTGGTCGGCCACAGGGCACACAGCCGGCTGGACCCACAATCACTGACGCCCGGTATGCCTGTCTCCAGGGATGTCCCGTGAGTCCCTCCAGGTACCACACAGAATTCCCCCTGCTGCCACACTGGCTGAGGCCACCTGAAAACTGCCCTGTGGCGGGCTCATTTAAATTAAGCCTCAGGCTCTCGGAGCTTGGAGGGGCTTGAAGTCCTGCGGTTGTTCGCCCCTCCCTAAGGGGAAGGTGGCCGGGGTCACACGGCTGCCCAGAGGCCAGCTGGGGGCAGACCCTGCCGCCCTGCGAGGCTTGGACCAGGGGGTGTCTCTATCCCCCCCTGGGCTTGGTGGTCCAGAACCCAGGCCTGGGCCCCTCGCTCTCAGATCTGCTGGCGCCCCTCACCCTCACCCTGGTGCTCCCACTGGCTACCCGGGGGGCTTGCCCTGGCACGTCATAGCTTTCGATGCCGTTTGCAGACCCCCGTGTCCAGCAATCTGCTTTGTCTCTTCCTGCCTCGTTTCCCCATCGCTGGGTAGTCTGTGGTGAGGTGACCTGGAGCAGATACAGAGAAGCTTTAGGGGACATGTAGCGCGGCTTAGGTGGGGCGCCCTGTAAGCCGGGCACCTTTCCAAGTGCTCGGCCCCTCACCTCTGGGGCGGTGGCATCTGTGTCCCTCCTCCCCCAGGGAGAGGACAGGGCAGGGGCAGGGAAGCGTCTTGCCTGAGACCACAGACCAGGAGGAAGTCGGGGAGCTGGCCCAATGCCCCTGAGCTCAGGGTGGTGTCCCCGGCCCTCGGTTGGCTGGCGTGTCAGCTCTGGATCCAAGAGAGGCTGTGGCCGGGCGGTGGGCTACCCAGAGTCCCCTGCTGGCTAAGGACCATGTGCTCGTAAACTTTAATTTCCACACAGTAGAGAAACATATAATACAAGCAAACGGGGGTCCACTATACAGCGAAGCTCACAAATACACCTCAACACACGTGCGCTCCCCAGCCGCTCTGGGGGCTGATTCTGTGAGCCGGTGGCCCCGTGCAGAACGGCGCAGGGGAGGCGAAGCCAGCTCAGTCCTTGCAACCCCTCCCCCCATCAGGACACTTCCTCTGCCCGCTGGCCCATTGTCACCACCAGGGGGACAAGCAGCCTCCCAGACACTCTGCTCCTGGCCAGTCTCTCTCCCGCCTGGGAAGGTGAACCTCATCACCAGCCACAGGGTTGGGCTGGGAAACCAGGGGACATCCCTTAGGGGCCTGCTCTGGGCCAGGTCCCCACACTTGACGCCCCAAGCGGGTCAGACGCAGCCACCGTCCAGGTCCTCCAGGCTGGCAGAGCGACAGCCTTGGTCATTCAATGTGGTGGGCACTGTGGTGTCTGGGGCAGGGGCTGGGAGACCTTCGTCGGGGAGGACAGGCTGGGGAACTGATCTGAGCAGGTGAGTGGGAGCAGGGGGTGGGGTAGGCACAGGTTGGGCATTTAGACAGAGGTTGGACAGGTATAAAGGCAAGGGAGTAGAAGGGAGGGTGGGACCTGTGGGGAACTCCAGAGGGGTGTTCTAGATATCCTGGGCACTTGGAAGGTGGCCGTCAGGAGCATCTGTACGAGGGGGACACCGGCTGCCCCCGTGGCACAGTGATGTGGGAGTGTCAACCTTCCCAAAGGCTGAGGTGGGTCCCTGGCCAAGCCCTGCCTGTGGCTCTGCCCCTGGATGGCCAGAAGGAGGCCACCGGCCCTGCTGAGGACCATCCGTGGTCCTTCGTCCTGACCCTGTGCGCGTCAGCGGCTCTGGACGGGAGCTCTCGGCCGGCACCTGTCCCGGGCTGCAGGCTCTGGCACGTGGCGACATGGGGAGGGGCCCCACACTCACAGGACCACCTCGGGTGCGATGCTGAACAGGAGGTCATCATTCCCCCGCCGCACCTCCAGCAGCAGAGGGGACTCCGTCAGGATGGCCTCCTGCAGTTCGCTTGAGTCCGCCAGAGGGCGCCCGTTGACCTTGACGATGATGTCGCCATCTTGGATGCCCCCTCTGCCCAATGGAGAGACACCCAGTCACTGCACATCCCCGCGAGGCTGGGACCCCGCTCAGAGGACGATTCGGTTAAACAGCAGCAGTTAAGAAAAATCATTTCAACAGGTAAGAACAGCGTCCTGACCGCAAGGTTCTCACACCAGATGGAAACCGATGTCCTCCAATGGGCTAGTGCTTTGTGAGCCTGCTTCTTCTCTACATTACAAGGGCTGGGTTCAAGTTCTGGCTGCAGCCTTTTTGGCTGGGCTGCCGCAGGCCAAGCACTTGGCCCCTTTGAGCCTCAGTGTCCACATCGGCAGTCCCATGTGGGAACAGGCCTGCAGATTACGAGGTCCAGGCTGCAGTGAGGGCTGACTGATGAGGCAGCGTCGGTCAGCAGCAGACGCCCTTGCCACTGAGCCCACCGCTCTGGCTCTTGAGGCGGCCTGCCCGGGGTCCCTCCCAGTAACTGCTGAAACCCTGAATAAGGGGCCTGAGTGTGGTGGCTACTCATTGGCTTCACAGACCTATGTTCCAGCAAGTTCTGCTGCAGGCCAGCTGTGGACCGAGCACCCGTGCAGCCTCTGAAGCACCATGACAGAAAACAGGAAGAGGGGTCCTGTTCAGGGGCGGGGGCCCTGCGGGGCTGGAGGCCTGCCTGCCCGGCTCCTCTCCACTCCGCACCCTGCCCTCGCCCCTCACAGACGCCCTGTGCACGACCTGCAGCTCCGGGGATTACTGTGTAGACCACTGGTCGAATGAGCCCACCTACCGTACAGACGCACACCTGGGGCAGAGGAGGGAAGGGCTTGCTTGGAGCCCCTCTGGGGCCTGGATCAGCCGTGCAAGCACGAGGCGCCTACACTACACGGGCTGGCTCAGCTCACGGCGCGGCAAACAGTCAACCGTCCTCCGGTACTCGGCAGTTTCAAAGAGAACGGTGCTTTGTCTCATTTGATCTTTACAAAGCCTCCTCAGGGGAGAAAGAGTAGGCCGAACTGTGCCCATTTTGCAGATGAGGAAACAGGCCCAGGAAGACCCCAGTGCGCCCACCGAGCTGGTGGGAGTTGGGCTGGATTGGGGATTGAGCTCTGGGGGGGTCTCCACTACTCTGTCTCTCTAGACCCAAAGCAGAGGACACGGTGGGCTAAGGAAGAGCACTGCCAATGCTCTAAGGGGTACCTCATCTCTCCAGCCTGCCCCTGGCTTAGGCGATAGGCCAGAATCCCACCTGCCACTTCTGTGCCATGTCATGTGCCGGCGGGGGTGGTGGTGTGTGTGGCTCAAGGTCACGCAAGGTCACTGAAGCGGGCCCACCCTAGGCCTCATGCCCACCCAACCCCACCCGCCAGGATGTCTGATTGCCTCCTGTCCAGTGTCCCTGCTTCCCGTAGTGCAGCCTACCTCTGAGAAGGTGAGTTTGGGACAACCTCTTGCACATAAATCCCACTGCTGACCGACGGGAAGTCTGGGTTGCTGGCCTTTAGTTCTTCTACCAAACTGAAAAGGAAGTTCCACAATGAACACACTTCTTCTGAGCCTCCGTGGCACAAAGCTGCCCTCCCTCCCCCCACCACCCACGCCAGAAGAGGCATCTCCTTTGGACCCCAACACTGCTCTGTCCTACCACTGACCACTCTGGGTTGTCACTGGTTCTTCTCAGTGTCCCCCACTTGACATGGGATCCTCAAGAGAAAGTTTACTGAAGGTGGATGGTTAGAAGTGTGGATAGGGGAGGGTGATGGATAGATGGGAGGGTGGGTGGGAGGAGGGATGAGAGAAAGGAAGGAAAGGTAGAAGGATGGATGAACAAATGGATGGATGGATGGATGGATGGATTGATGGATGGATGGATGGAAGGATGGATAAATGGATAGATGAAAGATGAGCAATGAGTGAGTCATGGACTGGATAGACAGAGGCTGGACAGACGGTGGGATGGATGAATGGATGGATGGATGGATGGATGGATGGATGGATGGTGTGATGGATGGATAGATGGATGGTGTGATAGACTGATGGAAGGGTGGTGTGATAGATGGATGGACAAATGGTGTGATGGATGAATGGATGAAAGTCAGAAAGAAAGAACACATTTAATAGATAAAAGTTGGTATATTGGTCTTGATTACAAATGACTGTCAGATTTAATCCCTAGATTAACAGTTAATGAAATGGGAAGAATGATCATTTTAGGGACTGTATAGTTTTGAGGGTATAATCAGTTGAGCATGCCTTAGTTTTCCCGAGAGCACCCAATGCTCCTCCTTCTCCAAATCCTTGGACTTGATTTTGCATATTTTTCACTCTGATTCCCTTCCTTTCCCGTCTTTCTCCTTTTCCTTACACATACCACCCTTTATTCCACTATCAGTGTTTCCAGCCACCCACTCTGCTACAGACATGATACCAACGAGCAGGACAGAGTCCTCACTCCCAAGGAGCTCAGGTTCAAAGTTGAGGGGTGCAGGGCACAAACAGGCAATTCCAACCCATGGGGCCAGTGCAATGCTTGGAAAGGAAGCACAGCTATGCGGGGGGAAAAGGTGGAACTCCCCCCACTTGAGTGGCATGGTGAGTAGAACAGTGTCTCCCCAAAATTCATGCCCACCCAGAACCTCAGAATGTGACCTTTTGTACAAATAGGGTCTTTAAAGATCTAACTGGTTAAGAACCTCTAGGTAGTGTCATCCTGACTTAGGGTGGGACCTAAATCCAAGGACTGGTGTTTTTATAGAAAGAAGAGGGAGATTTGGACACAGACAGAGGAGGCCACAATCTGCAGATGGAGGCAGAGATTGGGGTGATGTGGCTACAAGCCAAGAAACACCTGGAGCCCCCAGAAGCAGGGAGAGCAAAGAGGAACTCCCCACAGAGCCTCCAGTGGGAGCACAGACCTGCTGACGCTCTGATTTTGGACTACTAGCATCCAGAATAGCAAGATAATGAATTCCTATTGTCTTAAGCCACCCAGTTTGTGGTAATTTGTATGGCAGCCATAGAAGCTTTCTTCCTGGAGGAGGGGGCACCTGAATGGAGTCCTGAGGGAGCTGAAGGAACCAATCAGACAAAGGGGGAAAAGGCATTGTAGGCAGAGGGCTGGCCTGAGCAGAGGCTTGGGAGTCTGAGTGTCTGGCCCTTAGGAACACCTGCAGGTGGCCAGACACAGCTGGGCAGGGTCTTGGAGGAGAGCTGAGGAGAGGGATGAGGATGGAGGGGTAACAGGGTTGCATCCTCAGACACTCACCTCGGTGTGATGGTACGCATCCGTATGCCAATGAATCGCTTCTTCCAGTCTGGGAACAAAATAGGACAGGACTCCGTTAGAGCCACTATGAAAGCCTCTGCCCTCCTTGAAGAGCCATGTGGGGCCGAAATTCCCCCCAGGAGCAAAAAGCAGCAGAATCCATCCCACGTGGTCACAGGCTAGAGCTGCCTCTATCCTCCAGGCTGCTGTTGAGGGGCTGGGAGATGTCCTGCCTAGTCTGGTAACTTCAGGCTCACCCTTGCTCTCAGGCCCCATGCAACCACATCAGCTCCCACAGCTGCTTGGCTGCTGAGCCCCACACCCAAACCCCAACGGCCAGTGGGGCTCTCCTCTCCAGCCTCCATCTCACAGGCTCCCCAAACTTGCCTGCTCAGATCTGAACTTGTTACCTTCTCCTGCCTTCCCCATAAATTATAACATTAGCCTATAATGCCCAGTGAGCACTAGCCATGTGCCAGGCCCTCCAGTTGGAGACTTAAACACACAACTCGCCAAGGCTGAGCCAGCCTGTGACTTAAAAAGTGTTTTAACCCCAGAAATAGCATTTACCTATTTGGAACCATAAAACAAGTCTCAGTACAATTAAAGTGTCTTATAAAAACATGCTCTCTGACCACAATGGAATTAAAGTAGAAATCGGTAATAGAAGGGTATCTAGAAGATTTCCAACAACTTAGAAACTAAGTAACACACTTCTGAATTCCTCATCTTCAAAGAAGAAATCAAAAAGGAAATTAGAAAGTATTTAAAACCAATAAAAATGGGAAAATAACGTATCAACAGCTGTGAGGCACAGGTGAATTGGTACACGGGGGAAATGAATAGTACCAGAGTGCCAATATCAGAGAAGAAGAAAGGTCTCACATCACTGATCTTAGCTTTCACCCTGAGAACTAGAAAGAGAAGACCAAATGAAACCCAATGTAAGAGGAAGAAAGGGAATAATAAAGACTAGAAATCAGTGAGATAGAAAACAGAAATTCAATACAGAAAATAAATGAAGAGCAAAAGTTTATTCTTGGAGATCAATTAAATCCATAAGCTTTCAGCCAGACTTATCAGCCAGAAGAAGAAAAAAGAAAAAGACAAGACAATTATCCGTATCAGGATCAGGCATGGGAGAAGGGACATCACCACAGACCCTACAGTATTGGAAGGGTAGTAAGATGTAATTATGAACAACTGGATGCCAACACATTTGACAACTCAGATACAATGCATACATTTCTTGAAGTTTCCAAACTGCCAGATCTCACTCAAGAAGAAGCACATAACCACAGTAGCCGTGCCTTTATTTTGTAGTTAAAAATCTTCCTACAAGGAAAACATCAGGGCCAGATGGTCCCACAGGACAATTCTACCTAATGTTTAGGAAAAAAATAGTATCAATTCTGCAGAAACTCTTTTTTTTTTTTAATTATTTATTTAGTTATTTGAAGAGAGAGATACAGTGAGAAAGGGAACACAAGCAGGGGAGTGGCAGAGGGAGAAGCAGGCTTCCCGCCGAGCGGGGAGCCCGATGCGGGGCTCGATCCCAGGACCCTGGGATCATGACCTGAGCCGAAGGCAGACGCTTAACGACTGAGCCACCCAGGCACCCCCTGCAGAAACTCTTCTAGAAAACTGAAAATGAGTGAACACCTCTGGGATGTTGTGATTTATAAGAAATATGTGTTTTGGTTTTTAGCACATGGCCCCTAAAACTTCTGTAATTCCCTGTGACAAGCACTCTGGGAACATCTTTTTGCTGCCAGCCCCTGAAATTGCCTCATGGTGATACATGTGTGAAGGATGTCTTCTGTTACTCTTACAAGAAGCCCCTTTCAACCACTCCCAAGTGTACGTTACTGAGGTGGTTTTGAGAAGCCCCTAAGGATGGGTCTGGTTGCCAGGAAACCTACAATGTGATTAGGGGGTTGAACTTTCAGCCCCAACCTCCGCACCCCTTCTGGGAGAAGTAAGGGGCTGGACGTGCAAATAATCACCAATGGCAGTGATTTGAACTAATTGTGCCTACATGATGAAGACTATACAACCCCAAGAGCGGGGATCAGAGAGCTTCCAGGTCGGTGGATGTGGAGGTGCTCCGTGTCCTTTCCCAGACCTACCCTGTGCTTCTCTCCAGTTGTTGTTCTTGAATCATACCTCTTTATACACAAACTGGTCATCTAGCCAGTAAACTGCTTTCCTGAGCTCTGTGAGCTGCTCCAGCAAATGATCAAACCCAAGGAGGGGGCCGTGGGAACCCCCAATCTCTAGCCGGTGGGTCAGAAGCACAGGTGACAGGCTGGACTTGTGATTGGCATCTGAAGTGGGGGGGCGGTCTTGTGCGACCTTAACCGTGGGTTCTGACACTACCTCCGTGTAGATAGTGTTAGACTTGGGTGAAACGGTAGGACAGCCAGCTGGTGTGGGGAAGCCCCTTGCATTTGGTCACTAGGGTGTCAGAAGTGAAGCAGTATCATAGCAGAGAACTGAGGACAGACAAGAGGCACAGGAGGAGTGTTCTTCCTAAAAATTTCCCAACCATCATCCTGACGCCAAAATCAGGAGAGAAAACTAGACCAATACCCCTCACAAAGACGGCTGCAAAAAACCCTCAGACATTTTCCGCAAATCAAATCCAACAACATATCCCAAGGATAATGCATCACGACTGAGGGAGCTTTATCCCAGGAATGCAAGGATGGTTTACCATTCAAAAATCAGCCAACGCAATTTACCACATGAACAAACTACAAAGGAAAGTCGCCATCTCAAAAGGTGCAGAAAAGGTGTCTGACAAAATCTTCTAACATCTGTTCCTAAAAAAACCTACGAACTCAAGGGAACTTTTTCCACCTGATGAAGCGCCTGCAAGAGACGTTGAGCGAGCATCCTCCTTGCTGGTGAGAGATAGAGACTTCTCCCCAAAGGCAGGAATGACGCCACCCCATCCACTCTCACCACTTATTCAATATCTTACGGAGGCTCCAGCCAGGCAAGAACAAAAGAAAAGGCATCCACGCTGGAAAGAAGCCAAACTGACTCTGTGCACAGACTGCAGAATCATCTGTGTGGAAAGCTGATGGAACCCACAGAAAGTCCTACCAGCATAAGCTGTGAAGGTCACGGGATCTCTCATGATTAATCAACATACGAAAATCAACATTACTTGTATATTCTGGTGACGAACAATCGGAAATTGAACTTTAACATTGAAACAATTGAAACAACTGAAATTGAAATCATGAATTGACAAGCTGATTCTAAAATCCATGTGGAAATGCAAAGGATTCCGCAAAACCAGAATGATGTTGGAGGCGGGACAAAGCCAGAGAGCTAACATTGCCTGACTTGAAGACATTGCAGAGCTGCGGTAATCAGGACAGACAGACAAGTGGGACAGAACGGGCTCATTTTATTTTTGACAAAGGAGTAAAGGCCATTCAGTGGAGAAAAACACACGATGTCGGGACAACTGACTCTCCAAAGCGGGAAAAAAAAAAAGAAGAACTTTGATTCATACTTTGCACTCTTTTAAAAAATTAATTCAAATTGCATCATCATCCTAACTCAAAGACTTCAGAAAGTAAACTGCTAGAAGAAAATGTAGGAGAAGATATCCCTGACGTTTGGTTAGCAAAGATTTCTTAGATACAATTCCACACGCAACGATCCATTGAAAAAAAATTGGCAAATGAGACTTCATAAAAATTGATAAAACGCCCACTCTTTGAAGGCGCCGTCAGGGGAATGAAAAGTTAAGCTGCGGGAGGAGACATTTGCAGCTCGTCTCTCTGACAAAGGTTCCCATCCAGAATGCACCCAGACCCCTCCCAAAACCTAGTAAGAACACAAAAAACCCAACTTTTTAAAGTGGGCAAAATATCTCAACTAACATTTTCGCAGGGCGGGGGCGGGGGGCTGGCCCGTGGCTCTGCTGGGCCTGTGACTTTGGTGTTTACCCCCAGCAAGTGCAGCCCCGGGACGCTTTGGAGCAGAGTGTGATCTGCCCTACGTGGTCTGCTCTACGTTTTGAAAGGACCCCTCGGCTGGGAAGCGTCTGTGGAGCAAGGGCAGCTGCTCATCCCAGTGCAGTGCTCCACGATGGGGCCAGGCTGGTGATGGAAATCTGGGAGTCACTCCCTAGATGGCATTTCCATCCATAGGTGGGGTGAGGTCCTCAGAGCTAGGAGAAAGGCCTGGCAGAGGCCTAGGCCCTCCATCCTGCTCCTGACATGGGTGCTGGCCCCTCCTCAGCATCGCTCAGAACCCCAAGGTCATGCTTCAAAACAGGAAGGAGCCTGAACTTCCCGTGCTTGCGCGTGAGCAGCATCCTGGCTGGGCAGAGGGGCAGCCCTGTCCCCCCAGAGACCGAGGCCATCCGGTTAGAGACCTTGGTTGGAAGCCCACTGCCCACCCCAGAGCCAGCAGGCTCAGCCAGTGCGGCTTCTCCAGAAACCCTGGCCAGTGGGGCTGGTGCGGGGTGGCCTGATTGAGTTTGGGGGTCAGCAGACAACCCTGTGTGTCCTCCTTCACGGGGAGATCAGCCAGATGCAGAGGGTCCCGTGCGCTGTGCTGGGAACAGGGAGGTGGGCTGAAGGTCCCGACTTTGTTTCCTACTACACAGGCCGTGGGAACACTCGACCCACGTGAGGCAAGAAAGCCAGTGAAGGAAATGAAACGGTAGGGAGGGGGGAGGAGGGGAGGGGAGGGGGTTCGGGGACAGAGCAGAGGGAGGAGAAGGGGGAAGAGAGCTGGCTTTGGGTACCGATCACTCCCTTCAGAGACTGGCAGCCCCCCACACTGCAAGGGCACTGATGCCGCTGGACAGGGTACCCAAAGGGGTTCGCTGTACGCAACGGGAGTTTCACCTCAACAAAACCCCAAACCAAGCCAGAGAGCAGCTCAGGCCTGGGGCTTTGCAGGCATCAGGGCTGACCCCTCCTTTGCCCCCTGAACCCCCATCCCAGGAGCTGCCCCTGTGCCTCGCTCACACTCTGCATCCCTCCTTCCAGCAAGCCCTGTTGGCTCCAAGTTCAACACTGACCCGGACCCAACCAGGCCTCACCCTGCAGCCGCTGTCACCCCGGCCTCGGCCCCTGCTAGTTTCCCGCAGCGGACTCCCCGCCCAGCACCCGAGGCCGCCAGCCTATGCCCGCCGCCCCGCACCCCGCGCCCCCTCCCCCTGCCCCCTCACAGGACATACGGGGGCTCCCGCGGCCCGCCGCCCCCCCCGCGCCCCCTCCCCCTGCCCCCTCACAAGACATACGGGGGTTCCTGCAGCCCACCGCCCCCCTGCGCCCCCTCTCCCCTCCCCCTGCCCCCCTCACAGGACATACAGGGACTCCTGCGGCCCGCCACCCCCCCCCCGCGCCCCCTCTCCCCTCCCCCCACACAGGACATACGGGGGCTCCTGCAGCCCGCCACCCCCCTGCGCCCCCTCCCCCCACTCCCCTCCCCCTGCCCCCCTCACAGGACATACGGGGGCTCCCGCGGCCCGCCGCCCCCCCCGCCCCCCCCTGCCCCCCTCACAGGACATACGGGGGCTCCTGCAGCCCGCCACCCCCCTGCGCCCCCTCCCCCCACTCCCCTCCCCCTGCCCCCCTCACAGGACATACGGGGACTCCTGCAGCCCGCCACCCCCCCGCGCCCCCTCTCCCTGCCCCCTTCACAGGACATACGGGGGCTCCCGCGGCCCGCCGCCCCCCCCGCGCCCCCCCTGCCCCCCTCACAGGACATACGGGGGCTCCTGCGGCCCGCCACCCCCCCGCGCCCCCCCTGCCCCCCTCACAGGACATACGGGGGCTCCCGCGGCCCGCCGCCCCCCCGCGCCCCCCCTGCCCCCCTCACAGGACATACGGGGGCTCCTGCAGCCCGCCGCCCCCCCGCGCCCCCTCCCCCCACTCCCCTCCCCCTGCCCCCTCACAGGACATACGGGGGCTCCCGCGGCCCGCCGCCCCCCCGCGCCCCCCCTGCCCCCCTCACAGGACATACGGGGGCTCCCGCGGCCCGCCGCCCCCCCCCCGCCCCCCCCTGCCCCCCTCACAGGACATACGGGGCTCTTGCAGCCCGCCGCCCCCCCCGCGCACCCCCTGCCCCCCTCACAGGACATACGGGGGCTCCTGCAGCCCGCCACCCCCCTGCGCCCCCTCCCCCCACTCCCCTCCCCCTGCCCCCCTCACAGGACATACGGGGGCTCCCGCGGCCCGCCGCCCCCCCGCGCCCCCCCCTGCCCCCCTCACAGGACATACGGGGGCTCCCGCGGCCCGCCGCCCCCCCCGCGCCCCCCCTGCCCCCCTCACAGGACATACGGGGGCTCCCGCGGCCCGCCGCCCCCCCGCGCCCCCCCTGCCCCCCTCACAGGACATACGGGGGCTCCTGCAGCCCGCCACCCCCCCTGCGCCCCCTCCCCCCACTCCCCTCCCCCTGCCCCCCTCACAGGACATACGGGGGCTCCCGCGGCCCGCCGCCCCCCCGCGCCCCCCCTGCCCCCCTCACAGGACATACGGGGGCTCCCGCGGCCCGCCGCCCCCCCCGCGCCCCCCCTGCCCCCCTCACAGGACATACGGGGGCTCCCGTGGCCCGCCGCCCCCCCGCGCCCCCCCTGCCCCCCTCACAGGACATACGGGGGCTCCCGCGGCCCGCCGCCCCCCCCCCGCCCCCCCCTGCCCCCCTCACAGGACATACGGGGGCTCCCGCGGCCCGCCGCCCCCCCGCGCCCCCCCTGCCCCCCTCACAGGACATACGGGGGCTCCCGCGGCCCGCCGCCCCCCCCCGCCCCCCCCCTGCCCCCCTCACAGGACATACGGGGCTCTTGCGGCCCGCCGCCCCCCCCGCGCCCCCCCCTGCCCCCCTCACAGGACATACGGGGGCTCCTGCAGCCCGCCACCCCCCTGCGCCCCCTCCCCCCACTCCCCTCCCCCTGCCCCCCTCACAGGACATACGGGGGCTCCCGCGGCCCGCCGCCCCCCCGCGCCCCCCCTGCCCCCCTCACAGGACATACGGGGGCTCCCGCGGCCCGCCCGCCCCCCCCGCGCCCCCCCTGCCCCCCTCACAGGACATACGGGGGCTCCCGCGGCCCGCCGCCCCCCCGCGCCCCCCCCTGCCCCCCTCACAGGACATACGGGGGCTCCTGCAGCCCGCCACCCCCCCTGCGCCCCCCTCCCCCCACTCCCCTCCCCCTGCCCCCCTCACAGGACATACGGGGGCTCCCGCGGCCCGCCGCCCCCCCGCGCCCCCCCTGCCCCCCTCACAGGACATACGGGGGCTCCCGCGGCCCGCCGCCCCCCCCCGCGCCCCCCCTGCCCCCCTCACAGGACATACGGGGGCTCCCGCGGCCCGCCGCCCCCCCCGCGCCCCCCCTGCCCCCCTCACAGGACATACGGGGGCTCCTGCAGCCCGCCACCCCCCTGCGCCCCCTCCCCACCACTCCCCTCCCCCTGCCCCCCTCACAGGACATACGGGGCTCCTGCGGCCCGCCGCCCCCGCTAGAGTAAAGGCTCCCGGCTGCGCGCTCGGCCTCGCCCGGCCCACGGCCCACGGGAGTCCAGGCTGCGCGCAGGCGCACATGCGCTGTGGGCCCCTCTGGCCGGAGCCTCACGCTGCAGCCCCGAGCGCTGAGCAGCGGTCCTAGCCGCGGGCTGCAGAGCCGAGCTCAGGTTTCGGGGACACTAAAGCCTCGGGGGCCTTGGAGAAGGGACAGTGGGCTGCAGAGCACAGGTGCTGCCCCGTCACACCCTTGCCTCCGGCTGCTGCCTCCCGGCCTGGGGGGAAACACTCTAGCCCACAGGTGTCCCTCCCTAGTCTGCCCGTGACCTGGAGGCCAGGGAATGTGCATTCCAGTCTCTGATTGCCGGAACCCCAGCGCCTCCCTGCAGCTCTCCCTGGGCGCACAGGCCACAGAGAGCCCCGGGGCAGGAGACGAGTGACGTTTCCACTCCCCAGGCTGGATGGGACCCCACAGTTCACAGAGGGCCAGACATCCATAGCCACCCAGCCCCACTGACCCAAACACCCCGGGGGGTACACTCTAGTCCTAAACCTGGCTGAGCCCCCAGACTCTCCTGCGGCCTGAAGCTGAGGTTCCCTTGGACCAGCATGGTGGCCCCTCTTCCCTTGAGAGCCCCCCAGAGGCCTCTGTACCCCATACCTAGACAGGAACAAGAAATGCACTGTAATGTCTCCTTGGTTTAATTTAAGGATGCCTTGTTTTAAAGAACTTTAGATTAACTGGGTTTAAGTATTTTGATAATTTTATTAAGACAAAAAAGCAGGAGTAAACACCAGTCAACTTCAGAAGGGCTTTAAATTAAAGATTCAGTCATCCAGCTAAGATTTGTTGGGCTTTCTGATGAGTCCACATGTCCTGAGGGAGGTGACAGCTCTCGGGACAGGGCCTGAGAGTTTCCCAGGGTATCTGGGGTGAGGTCAGCACTGACAGGGATGGTCTCTGCACCACAAAAGGAACAGACCCTGCTGGCCCCTGGTGGGTTCCGAGAGAGGAGAGGAAGTGAGGCAAGAAGCGAGAGGATGCTATCATCCGATCTTTCTAACAGTCACCTGACAGCTCAGTCTGCAAAATGCAGATCCACCGATTTCCAGGAAGGGAGCTAAAGTGAAAGGCACCCGTGGAGCAAAGGATAATTACACTAGAAAAGCTCATTTATTAGAGAAAGCACCAAGGCTATGACAGGTATGAAGGTGCAACCCTGGGTTAAGTTCTGAGTTTCCTAGCAGCCAAGGAGAAAAGATGTGGGGTTGATGCCCCCCTGTCCAATAGAAGAAGCGTTGAGCTTCTTCAGGGAAGACTGGCTCTACCCTGGCTCCAGGCCATCTTCACATGAGGGACCCCGATGAACCCAATGGAGTCCTCAACAGTGGTTCTTCGCATGACCAGTCCTCATGGCACTGGTCTTGGCTGCACTGGGCTCCGTGTGCTTGGCTGGTGGGATTGTGGAGGATCAGGCAAGCATGAGGAAGCCCCCTGCTCTCAATGAACTGCTGGTTAGGGGGCTGGGAGGAGACATGGAAGCAATTTGAAGGTGTGAGTAGTGGGGTCAACGCAGGTCTGGGCATTGGCCAGGTGGGCATGGGAGACAAAATGGCGGGAGACATTCACTTGGGCTAAAATGAGAGGCGGAAAAGTGGAGGGCACCAGGAAACTCCTGAGATCAGGAGATGTAGGACCCTCCTTTGGAAGGCAGCTACGACCACCAACTTTAAGAAGGTGATGGGCAGGCCCTCACTGGGGAGAGTAAGCTGTGCCTGGCCAAGGCCTCCCCCAGGTGGGTGCTCATGGCCATCCAGGTGTGGGTAGGGAGGGCTGGACACCCCTGTGTAGATGGGGAGATGGGGCTGAGAGGAAGATGCCTTCCAAGGATCAGGGGCTTGGGCTCTGCTCCCCTGGAGTAGAGAATACCCTCCTGGACAGGTTACATGACCAAGGCTAAAAGAGGGAGTCCTTAGGGATGAGCAGATGGGAGGGAGGGAGGGTAGATGGGTGGATGGCTGGGTAGGAGTGGATAAAAGAGCAGATAGGTAGATAGGTGGGTGTGTGTGTGAGTGGATGGAAGGAAGAGTGGGTGGATGGGTGGATAGGTGGATGGATGGATGGATGGATGGATGGATGGATGGATGGATGGAAGGAAGGAAGGGAGGAAAGGAGAGAGGGAGGGAGGGAGGGAGGGAGGAAGAAAGGAAAGACCGGTTCTGTCTATAGCAGCCCAGAGAAGTGGAGCCTGGTGGCCCAGGCTGCTGGAGGTGGGAGATGGGAGGTGGGAGGTGGGTGGGGGACACCCCCCGCCAGAAGGGGAGCATCGGGAGGGGCGGGGGTTCACATGACCATGAGGTAAGGGGAGGAAGACAGAGGCCACAGCTGAGGAGTGCGGGGTTCTGGGAACTTCAGGATGGGCACGAGGTGAGCAGGGAAGGACGGGGTCCCCTGCCTCAGCAGCCCCCAGGGCAACGCTGTACCTTTGACGTGCTTGTCCTGGAACTCCGTGAGGAAGCGCGTGATGCGGTCTGAGGGGATGGCGAAGGAGATGCCGGCTGCCACCTTGAGTGTGTTGATGCCAATGACCTCGCCGTCCTGGGCAGGGTGGTCAGAGGGGCGGTCACCCGGGAGCCGGAGTACCAAGTACCGCGTCCTCCCTGAGGCTCCCAGGACAGTCCCAAGCTGTCCTGGAAAGGCCCTCTGGCGTTCACCTCCGGGTCAGGGACCCCCCCACCTCTCCCTCCAAACCCACCCCTCCTCTCCCTAGCTCAGATCTGCCCCTCAGGCAGTGCCCACCGAGGAGGACACACCCACCCCGGCAGCATCCAGAGGGGCTGGAGCCCGGAGAGGGCGTGACGAGGCCTCTGGGACCGGAACCTCTCTCCCCAGTGCTTCTAGAAGTGGGGCTGGGGGCATGTGGCCTGGGCAGCTCCCCAGCACCCACCCACCCTGTCTGTCCCCCGGGAGCTGGCCTCCCACCCTGCCCCTGCCCTGTACCCCCTCAAGGCTACGGCCTGGGTCACCAGACACCTCGTTCTTGACACCCTCCCAGGAAGACGCTCCTCCTCCCAGCCCGGCACATACCCCTGCTTTTCCCGCCTCCAGCATAAAGCCCGCGCGCATGAGCTTTTGTGAACGCCCGTGCTGGGGCTCGGGTCCCGGTGCACGCCTGCGGGGCTGCTTGGGCGCAGGGTGAAGCTCCCTCTGAGCCCTCCCGCTCGTGCTGTGCCTTCTCCCCGGACTAGCTTTCTCCTGCATGTCCCCTCAACCCCAAACCCACAGTCTCCACGGCCCAGATGAGATACTCCCGCCTCCAACAAGCCCTCCCTGCCTGCGATTCCTCCAGAGTCCCCTCACTGTTCCTCATGTCACACGGGCGTGCTCATGTCTGACACGCTGCAGCATGGATGGGCGCTCCCGGGGTGGGGACAGCATCCAATACTTTGGGGCCCAGGAGCTGAACTGATTTCTGACTCCTGGTTTATTCTAGAAATCTCACCTGGGATGAGAATGAGCCTGAATCTGGGGCCCAGGACAGACGTGGGGTGGGGGGGACCCAAGAGGACGGGGAAAGGACAAGGATGCCCCCTCACCTCACATGTAAACACAAAGATGGGGGGCCCAGAGCAGTGAGCAGCCCTGACCTGTGTCTCCCCTGCCCCAGGTCCTTGCTGGGCACATAGCCCTGCTTGGCCACTGTTCCGGGTCATCCTCATTCCTCAGACAGCCCAGCATCTCTGGGGTGTACGGGGGGTAGGGGGCCCAGGGCGGCATGTGCTTGGGGTCATGTCCTCCCGGACCTCCGGCCTCGCGGTCGGGTGTGAAGATTCAAGGCCCATCTTTGGGGTTCCCTCCCCGCCTTGAGGCTGTACTGCCGTGTGAGCAGAGCCCCAGAAAACTAGAGACCTCTGCCCTTGGGGTCACTTACCAGGTTCACCAGTGGTCCCCCGGAGTTCCCGTACTGCAAGGGGAGGAAACTCGACGTGAGCTCAGCCCTGAGCCCGCCCGAGGGCCCCCGAAGCTCTGTCTCCCAACCCTTATTCCAACCAGCCCAGAGATGGGTCATCGAATTTCACCCTCAACGGCATTGAAAGGCCTCACTGCACCCCCATTTCACAGGTAAGGGAGCCTGGACCCTAGAGGCCACGCAGACGGCTGTCAGATGACCCGTGCGCCCCACACAGACACACAGGCTGCCTCCAGGCTTGCTCCACGGCTCAGTTACATCCCACCGGCTGCGAGGGGTCTCTACGAAGGCTCACATTTCCAGAAGAGCCCGAACCACGGCAAACCCAGAAATGTGGGCACTCTGTGAGTGTGAAAGGTGCCCTCAGCTACAGTAACAATACTAACCGTGACAAAAGGAATGCTGGTAGTGGGGGGGGGTGACTTGGGCAGAGACTCTCTGCGTCTCTGAAGGGCTGTCCCAGCTCAGGGCAGCAGCTTCTAACCCCCAGGGCGGACCCGGCACCCAGGTGCAGAAGTCACAGGGACTCCAAGCTCCGTTGAGCGTAAAGAAGGAACTTTCTAGCGAGCAGATGTGCTCAGTGATGGGGTGAGCTCTGGGGACAGGGACTCACGTTGATGATGGCATCTGTCTGGATGTAGTCCATGTCCGAGTCCCGGAGGCCCAGCTCCTTGCCGTCCCGCTGGGCCGTGCTGACGATGCCCGTGGTCACAGTGTTCTGCAGGGCAAAGGGGCTGCCGATGGCCACCACGAACTCGCCGGGCCGCAGGTCTGCCGAGCGGCCCAGTAGCAGGGCCGGCAGCTTTTTCTGGAGGGGGGACACGGGAAGGGAGGCTCAGCCGTCTGCCTTTGGTGGGACCGGAGCCAGATCAAGGCCAGGCCCCCAGCGGGGTGGTCCCAGGAAGGCAGGAGCAGCTGGATAGAGCTGTCAGGGGCGAAGGCCAAGGCAAGTCGCCAACTCAGACAGAAGCCAAGCTGGCCTCCAGCTGACCCGTAGTAGGAGAGACTCAGGCTGGAGTTCTTGCAACAGAGGCTCAGCTGCTCTCTGACCAACCACGGGTTTCCCCAGGCGGCTGCAGGGGTCACACACAGGGAGGATGCACAGAAGGTCCAGCCAGCCATGGCCTCTGAGGTCCTGGAGCCCAGAGGTTCGATGGTCACAGGTCCCTCTGAAATCTGATAGGAGCTATGAATACCATCCAAAATGCATCACACGCAAACTGATGATGCATACGACCGAGAGTCTTCTGGGAAGCCTGGAGTCCAGGTGAGGACTCGGAACCCTACTGTTGGAATCCTTGATCCAGCTCAACCTGATCTCCCAGTATAGACACACAGGGAAACTGAGGCCCAGAGCAATAAAGTGACTTAGCCAAGCTCTGCCATCACCCTCTGCACACTGAGACACCTGCTCGCTCCATTTCCATGTGGAGCCAGCGGAGCCTGTCTGTCTGTCCACTCTGCAGCTAGACTGGGAGCTCTGGGAGCTGGCCGTGTTGGGTTTGCCTCCATGGTCTGGACGCTGCAGAGTCCCGAGCCCTGGTTAAGGTGCTGAGTGGACGCACCGGTGTCCCTGACATCGACGGGAGCTGAGGCGCTCTCGCCAGCACCCCCGTCAATCTGGGGATTTGGTGTCGTACCACTTCCATCCAACGCCACCACTGGGGCGGCCAGGTACGGGGCACCACCTCTGTGCACTCCTGGGGTCTGGAATGACTTGCAGACACAAAGCTTTATAAGAAGGTGCTGGTGACCATCGTGCCCCCATCACAGGGGCCTCACGCTGGCTCTGGACAAGGACCGCACACCTCCGACCCTCCGACTGCCCGATTCCATCTGGTGGGAGGGCGGGGGTCCTGGCACAGAGAGTCCCAGGCGGAGGGTAAGGACCCACAGGGATGACACTTCCATCACTGGCCGGCCACAGGGAGGGATGACAATGCCCAGGCCTAGGGGATGCTCTTCCTCACTGCTCCTGAGTGGCCTGGGGCAGCAGCTCTCCCCAAAGCTGGGGGAGTTCCCACGCACAGGACTCAGGAGCTGAGAGGCAGTTCCTGCTGTCGAGGAGAAGCGGTGGGTGCTGATCGTGCCTGCAGGCATGAGGGTACATGGGCCTTACCGATTCCACCAGCACCTGCGGCCACCGAGGGCCGCCGGGGTGTGCCCCGCCCTAGGATTCAGCCACAGCCCCAGGAATGGGAGGGACCCAGCGGCAGCCAGACCTGGGGTCCCGGCTGGCTCTGCATCATCCTGTGAGGGTCCTTGGCGGGGGGCTGCACACTGTGGCCCTCAGGCTGTTTTTGTAAATCAAGTTTTATTGGAACCCAGCCACGTGTTTGTATCGCCTGCGGCTGCTGCAGAGTTAGGAGGTGCCCACAGAGCGCAGGCCCCACAAAGCCCAGGAGTATTTACTACTTGGAGTCTCACCACAAACGCTGCCAACCTCTGCCCTTGAGCACACCCCCTGCCCCCCGCCAGCCTGAGTGTCCTCATCTTTGGAATGGACGCGGCGTCCCCAGGCTCTGTAACTGCCATCAAAGGGTCAAATGTGGGGAAGGGCCCACGTTAGGGCAAATCTCTTCTCCCTTGATGGGGCAGGAAGGAACCTCCTCACAAAAGACTCATTATCGCCCAAACTGTACACTTCTGTTCAGAAAGAGCAGAAACCAGATTCAAGGTCAGCCAAGCCAGACTCACCGGCACAGATGGCCCCACGGGTCGCCGACCTCACGGCGGGGGTGGCCCACAGCGGCCCTCACGGACAGTCCTGACCACGACCCTGGACCAGCCCTGCCCCAGGTCAGCATGATCTTGGGCAATGGCCTAACCTCTCTGAGCCTCAGTTTCCCCTCTGAAATAGCAGGACACTGACATCCCTTCTGCCAAGGGCCGTGGGGGGCCTCCTGCACACAGTTGCTGGCACTGAGGGGGGGGGGTGGCCCCGCTGTGGGCTGTCCAGCCAGCTGGGGGGACCGCATGTGGAGGGACCGGGTCATATGTCCCAGGGCTCCCCACAGCTTCTGTCGGCTACACAGGGACAACTACATCTGGAGTCAGCCTGGGAGGGACACTGGGACCGTCCCTGGGCCTTGGAGGGCCTCCCTGCGGGAATGGCGGGGGGACGGCAGCCTAGCTCCGCGCCTGGCAGCTCAGGGAAGCACGGCGCGGGGGTCTGCAGACCCCGGTTCTAGTCTGACTTGACCCGTGACTAGAAGCAAACTGCCGGGTGCTCCCCGGGCCTCGGTTCCTCCAAGTGCCCTGCAGGAAGGTCGGGCCAGCGCCGCTCCGAGCTCTGGGGTCTGGGAAGGTGCCCCCCTGCCCGCCCACTCACTTTGGGGTGGATCTTGATGGTGGCGATGTCCGACTTCTTGTCGATGTCCTTGATGGTGGCCTCGTAGCTGTCACCGTTCTGCAGCTGCACCTTGAGCTGCTGCCGGCCGGAGACAGTGTTGGTGCTGGACACCACGTGGGCGTTGGTGATGATCAAGCCGGCCTCTGACATGATGAAGCCCGAGCCGCTGGACAGGGGCACGTTGCGACCAAACAGAGGGTGTCTGCGGGGAGGTGGGCACAGGCGGGCCATCAGGGCGGGTGGGGGCCTGGACGGGGGGGCCTGGACACAGGGCCTGGACGTAGGGGCTGGATGCGGGGGCCTGGACGTGGAGGCCGGATGCGGGGGCCTGATGTGGGGGCCTGGAAGTGGGGGCTGGATGCGGGGGCCTGATGTGGGGGCCTGGACGTGGGGGTCTGATGTGGGGGCCTGGACGTGGGGCCTGGACGCGGGGGCCTGATGTGGGGGCCTGGACGTGGGAGCTGGATGCGGGGGCCTGATGTGGGGGCCTGGATGTGGGGGCCTGGACGGGGGGGTCTGATGTGGGGGCCTGGATGTGGGGCCTGGACGCGGGGGCCTGATGTGGGGGCCTGGATGGGGGGGCCTGATATGGGGGCCTGGATGTGGGAGCTGGACGCGGGGGCCTGATGTGGGGGCCTGGACACGGGGGCCTGATGTGGGGGCCTGGACGGGGGGGCCTGATGTGGGGGCCTGGACGTGGGGGCTGGATGCGGGGGCCTGATGTGGGGGCCTGGACACGGGGGCCTGATGTGGGGGCCTGGACGTGGGGCCTGGACGCGGGGGCCTGATGTGGGGGCCTGGACACGGGGGCCTGATATGGGGGCCTGGATGGGGGGGCCTGATGTGGGGGCCTGGATGTGGGAGCTGGATGCGGGGGCCTGATGTGGGGGCCTGGACATGGGGCCTGGACGCGGGGGCCTGATGTGGGGGCCTGGACACGGGGGCCTGATGTGGGGGCCTGGACGGGGGGGCCTGATGTGGGGGCCTGGAAGTGGGGGCTGGATGCGGGGGCCTGATGTGGGGGCCTGGATGGGGGGGTCTGATGTGTGGGCCTGGACGTGGGGGCCTGATGTGGGGTCCTGACGTGGGGGCTGGATGCGGGGGCCTGATGTGGGGGCCTGGACACAGGGGCCTGATATGGGGGCCTGGATGGGGGGGCCTGATGTGGGGGCCTGGACGTGGGGCCTGGACGTGGGGGCCTGATGTGGGGCCTGGACGTGGGGGCCGGATGCGGGGGCTGGATGCAGGGGGCCTAGACTTGGGGAGGGGGGTTGGACATGCGGGGCCTGGACATGGGGACCTGGTCGAGGGCACCCGGATATAGGGCCTGAATGTGGGGCTGACCACAGCCATGCAGCAGATGGAAGCAGAGCCCAGCGTGGGGTGAAAGATCATGGGTTTGGAATCCCCGGGCCCAGGGCCAACCCCAGCTCTGCCACCTTCCAGCTGTGGCCTTGGCCAGGTCACTGACACCTGGGCCCATTTCACAGCCAGACAGAGGGGACGACCATCTGCGACTTGCAACTTTCTGGGATGTGTGCATCGGGCCTGTTGGGACAGGCAGGCGATCGTGGCCCTGATAACTCAGCACTGGAGCCAGTCAGGCCGGGACTCTAATCTCAGGCCCATCCCATTTATTATCTGCCTGGCCGTGGGCAGGCCTCGATCTCCCCAGCTAGGAAATGGGGTATGTACCCCGCTGAGTGTGACGCCTGGAGGCAGGAAGTCACTCAGCAAACAGGGCTGCTATTGGCACCAATGGGCACGTAGCCTCTGCTGGGGTTGTCCCACGGCAGGTCCCGGGGGGTAGCTTCCGGGGGGGGCAGATCTGCCTACACAGGGAGAGGGTAGCACTGGGGGGCGGTCTGCTCCCCCAGTGCCGATGGCAGGCTCTGCTCCGTGAATTCTGCACCAGGCACTGTCCTCCCGGAGACTCAGGGCAAGGGACACCAGACGGAGCCGGGCGGGGTGCGCGCTCAGACACACACAGGGCTTCTGCCTCCGTACATGGGGTCCAATGGTCAGAGATCAGAATTCACGGATGCGTGACAATGCCCAAGCCTCGCCAGAGCTGAGAGGAACCCCGGTCCGTGGCCAGGATGCCAGGGAGGAGGGAGGCCGGACGCAGCTCAGGACCCTCTCTGCCACCCCAGAGGGGCCCGGACGGAGCAGGTACTCAGTGCCTGAGGCTGCTTAGCAGAGGTGAGGGAGAAAGGGCACCCCAGGGGTCTGGGACACGAGGGGGAATGTCTCAGGGACGTGAGGGAGTGCAGAAGGCTGCCTCGCGGGCAGGACCAGTGTCAGGGGCTCACGTCACCGAGCCCTCCAAGCCAGATACAAAGTGATTTAATGCCCACGATCACCCTACATGGTAGCAGGCCACAGACGCCGTGGCCCAGGACACGAGGGCCTCGTCTGGGTCAGGCAGCCTGGCCACTCGGCCCTGGGGGGACCGTGGCCTCTGTCCACTCTCACGGTCAGCTTCCCCCGCCGCCCAGCTCTGAGTGTGGCCCGGGGCAGGGGCTGCACCTGACCGCCTCCTGCACCCATGGTAGGAGCTGGCTGTCTGCACGAGGGGCCTGAGGCCGCCGGCGGCCTCCTCCCCCAGGTCAGGGGTCACAGCCAAGGCTCCCAGGCTCGATGAGCATCTCATCTGTGTCTGGGATCTGGCCCACTTGGTCTTGCCCACCCGCCCACTGGGACATGGGCCTCCAAGGCTGATGTGGCAAAGGCATTGCCGCCTGCCAGGCTAGACTGCCGTCAGCAATTAGCTGGCTCGGAGCCTGGTGCCCGGAGCCTTCTAGAAAGACACTGGCCCCATCTGAGCCACTGACAAGGCCAGGGATGTGCCACTTAGCATGTCCAGTTGTAATTTCCTCAATGACATGTCTCGGGGTCTGGAGCCTGCAGAAAGGGCAGGTAAGGGGTCAGCTCTGGGGCCTGAGAGACCTGGGGTCAAAGCCCAGCTTGGCACTCGGCAGCTCTGTGGGCCTGGAGAAGGTCCCCTGCCTCACTCCACACCCAGGGAATGGGAACATCAAAGCCTAGCATCTGGGGTTCAGCCGTGCGTGAGAGCAGAAAGGGCCTCGGGGTGCAGAGTGTCAGTCAGCACGGAGGGGTGGGCCTCCGGTCCTGACTCAGGGTGAGTCCTGCCTGTGCCCGGCTCCCTCCTCTAAGAGGTGGGCACTCACCAGGGCTGTTGAGACACATGTTGGCAAAGCGGCCACCAGGGCTCAGAGCACACAGTTGGTCCAAGGGCATTGCTGTTCTGATGGGGGGCTCGTGCTGTTCATTGCTCGCCCCGTGAAGCACCATCAGGGGTGAAGACAGTCCCTACCCTCCAGAGATGGGGGGCAGTGACACTTCGTGACAAGGGCTCCCACTGGGCAAGCACCATGCCCAGTGAGCAGGGAGCCCCATGCTGGGGCCAGAGATCAGGGCGTGAGCGATTCTACCCACCCCCCAGGGACCCCCATGGGCCTCAGTGTCGGCATCACGGCACCAGCCTGCCTCCAACCCCCCGGGGAAAGCGCCACGCAAACATACAAGGCCCCAGTGCCCTGGCCCGAGGCTGCGGGGTGACTGTCCACTCCGGTGCACAGGGGCCTGGCTCCCTCTGTCCCCCATCAGCGTGGAGGGGTTCGGACCCTACGAGCCTCATCTGGGCGGTTTGGTGGCCCCCTCCACACGCAGGGGCCAAGAGGTGAAGTCAGACAGAAGGAAGAAACACTTTTAACTTGAGACGACCTGCTGCCAATGTTTTCTCTTTGGGAAGTAGAGGTCTCTCTGGGAGGAGACCCCAGGATTCCACGGGCGATCAGCCTTTGGGGTGGCAGTGCTTCCCAGAACCAGCTCAGGCAGCCTCTGTGACACCAGGGCGCCCCCTGCCCCGGGACACACCTGCTTAGCAAACCTGCAGCCCGGAGGGTGCAGGTGTGTATCCATTCCCCTCAGCGAGGACACCAGGGGCAGAGAGTGGGCCTCCCTCTCCAAGGGTACACGCCACGGAGGTGTCAGGGAGACCCACCTGACCCCACATGCACCTGGCTCCACCTGCCCCCGGTGCTAGAATGGGCGGACGCCTGGGAGGGGCTCACGCACCTCAGGAAGAGCTCTATGTGGACCACGGCCGGCGCGATCTTCTCCACCACGTCCGCGATGAAGTTGAACTTGTACCGTGGGCTGGTCAGCTGGTGGAGACCTGCGCTGGCAGGAAGAACCAGGAGCATTAGTGAGGCGCCCGAACCCCCACCCAGGAGGAAGCTCCCCCAGGGACCCCACCGGGCTCGGAGACCCTCAGCGATGCCCCAAACTCAGCAGCACAGTGACACCCAGACGTTTGGGAGGGGGCTTCTTTGCCCCAGGAATGGCGAATGCTGAGCTTCCTCACATTACCTCACTGGACGCCACCAAGCGGGCCAGGAGGCTCAGAGCAGTGAGGACACTTGCCCTCGGCTGTGAGCAGTGACAGGACATTGGAGCTAGATCTGGGCCAGCCCCCGGGGGCCCTGACCCTTTCTCTGATAGACGGCAGTGCCCCGGCTTGAGGCAACCGTCCCCTCCCCTGCGGCTCTGGCCCGTTGCTCCAGCCCTGGGGCTAAAGCAGTGATTGGGCAAGGGTCCGGCAGGGGCCGCCGGCTCGCCCTTCCAAGCTGCCCCGGTCTGGCCATGGTGTGACCCCCTGCTGGGCCCCGCGGGACTCCGATGTCTGAGTCGCCAGGGCCCCCTATCCAACTTGGCCAGGCCCCAAGTCCAACTTGCCGGGTGGCTCACGAACCCCCCTGGAACCTTTGCCGGCTCAGATTTCTGCTGCTGTCAGCAGCGGGGGCTGCCGCCTGCCAGGACTGCAGGCCTGAGGGATGTGGGTGGCACGGGGCCCACACCCCTTTGGTCTCCCTTGCTTGGGCATGTGCCGAGGCCCCTCAGGCCCCCCCGGAGACTGGCGCTACCTGGAACCCATGGTCCCCGAATGAGCTTATGCCTGGAGCTGGGCGCATGCCGGGCTTGGCTGGGCACCCCTCCTCCAGCTGTGTGGTTTAGGCAAATCACTCGCCCTCTCTGGGCCTTGACTCCTAGTCTGAAACTGAGACTGAAGATGACCCCTCCTGCCCTGTGGGAACTGGGTAGGAATGTGACTTGCGGGTGCGAAGCTCCCTGCCCAGGGGAGCCCACCATGCCCCCTGGCACCTGGGTCAGTGAGCAAACAGGGCTCGGCCTGTGAAGGCTAGTTTTGCAGCTGAGGCATGAGGATCTAGTGAGGATCTGGTTTTCCGTTTTGTCCAGAGGGACAGGAGGTCATGGTGAGTGCGGCCACCCTGCATGCCCCATAAACACTTGTGGGCACATCCCGACTATTCTCCCCATGTCCAGGGGGCAGCCAGGGCGGGGGTCACTGCCTCCCTCTCAAAGGTGGGGCGACTGTGGGGCTGGGTGATAAATCCTCCTGCCCGAAGACACATATCGAGTTGGAGAAGGCACGTTCCGAGCTTGGGCTGGGGGCTCGCTTCCTTAGGGGCCCCTCACCCATCCCCAGTGGCTCCCTCATGCCCTGACGGTCTATTATGCCCGGACTGGGACTCTGGGTCTGGAGAGGGCTTGCCTCAGGCTCCAAGGTCAGGGGTGGAGAGGAAGCCCCACCCACCAATTCTATGATGTCCGTCTCTCAGCCAGGCAGTGGGCGTGGGACATGGGGGCGCAGGCCACTGTGGTCAGCCTGAATCAAAGGCGGCCTGTCCGGGGGTGGCCGGAGCCCAGCTGGGAGACATGGCCTGTGGCTGGCCACGGCTGAGGCCCCTCGCCCAACCAACTGCAGGAGGCCAGGGGCTACCTGCCTGGGAGCCCTCCCCCGGGTGGCAAAACCCTCGGAGGGGTGGGGTTTAGGGTTCAGAGCTCACAATAACAAGGGCCCCAGGGGCTGGTCCCACTCTGGTTCCACACATTTATTTCCACGCAGGATTGCGAATTGTCCCTGAAACTCCACAGTTTCACTAGTCAGCTGTGGGGGCTAAGGCCAGCTCGGTCTCCCCCACCCCGAGGCCCCTGGAAACCCAAACCATGCTCTTGCCTCCAGGCAGAGGAAGGAAACCAGTCACAGAAACTGCTGTCCTGTCGGGTTCTGGTCTCTAACGGGACACTCCTCACCAGGTAATTCCCGTGGCCCTGGGACCTCAGAGGACCTCCGCCCCAGGCCCTTCTCCCTTCCACGGGTCGGGGCTTGGCAGGGTCTGCAGGTCTCCCTCATGTGCTGGGTTCACCCCAGCCGAGGTGTGTGCCCACCGTGCCGTGCTGGGCAGTCCCCAAGGGCCACGTCAGGTGTCACCCCCCCAGCTGTGTAACCTGTTGGGCCATTTACCCCAAGTCTCTATTCCATCACCCGCCGTTCTGTGCCCCACCTACACAGACCACTCCCCACTTCTCCCTAGCAAGATGCTCCAGCTTGTCCCGGGCACAACTCAAATCCCACCTCCTCCAGGCAGGCCCCTGGCAGGCTTCGTCCAGCAGAATGAGTCTCTCCTTCCTCGGGGTTCCCAGAATAATGCCCCGCCCTTGGCACTCCCTCTCACATGGGGCATATTCAATCCACGCATGCTGAGTGTCTCTGTGTGCCCTCTACGCCAAATACAGACGAGTGACCAGCCAGGCACAGCACAGGGTGACAGGGGATGGGGCAGAGGGAAGCCCAGGGATGCCTCGATCCAGGTCCCAAAGACTTCAGAGCCTGAGCCCTCCCTGACCCAGGGCCTGGGGCACCCCCATGGGGCTCCAGGGTCAGCCAGTTGGTGACCTGGGCCCTGCCAGGCCCTGTCCCTTTAAGCAGACGGACCGTGGTGGGTGGTGGGGAGGGGGTGGTGGGGCGGGGCAGGGCCAGCTTCCTGGTCCTCCTCCCCACACACAGATGAATCACCCCATGAATCAGTGGGAAGGGAGGACTCGGTTCCCACCGCTTCTTCCCACATGAAAACCTTGGGCCCCACGGCTGGAAAGCAGACGCTGTTTATTTGGGGTTTTGACAACCCCCACCCCCACCCCGTCCTCCAGCCAAAGTTCTGAAGTCAACAGTCAGTCCCGACCAGATTCAGCTGTTAGCATTTTGTTTTGTTTTGTTTTCAAAAATAAACTGTAATCCACAGGACTTGGAAGTTCTAGTTGGGAGGAATTTGACACAGAGCAAAGCAATCAGGGCCAGGTGTCTTGTGGCGCCACCGGGGAGGGGAAGGGGCACAGCCAGGATGCGAGCGAGCGCCTGGGACCACGCACGGCAGGGAGAGGAGCTGGGCTGCCGGCTCCGACCCAACATTCTTGCCTGGCAGAGCTCAGGGACAGTGGCAAACCCTGAAAGAGGACTCACCATATGCCAGCTCTGGACAGTCGTAATGCCATGGAACAGATGGGGAGACTGAGGCCCGGAGTGGGAAACTGACTAGCTCAGACATTCCACAGGGCCACTTTGTACTGCTGCTAGGCAGGCTGCGAACTGCACGAGTCCATTATTAACAAAGATCACGGTGCGCCCAGCTTCCCTTGCACAGCCTGCCCATCTGTAGGCACCACCCCTCCAGCACATAATGGGCAGCCGGGACTGAGACCCAGGTCTGTTGCGCTAACCCTGAGGTCATTGCCCTTAGTCTATCAGAAGAAGCCCCCACCTGTCACCCAGTGGTTAGCTATGAGCTGGGATGGAAGGGCCATCAGCAGATGACCACAAAGCCCCAGCTGTGCCCATCTGTCCATAATGCTATACACAGCCTGCAGACTAGATGACAACATCTTATCAGCGCATTCAAGGACCTGGGTGTCCGGGTTCCATCTGCATTTGCAGGCTCGCCTACTGCCACTCTCCCCTCTGTACCCCCAGCTCTGGTTCCCTCTGTCAGCAATTGCCCTTCTCTCATCCTTCAAGCCGGCTCAGTGACCACAACCACCCCTCTGGGTTCCACAGCCCCTCGGAACCCCTCCCAAGGCGTGTCCCTCGGACTGTCCTCATGGCCTGGGTGCCCCCAATCCACAGCACTGAGCAGGGAGCAGTGAGAGAATGAGTGAATGAGCAAGGGGGTGCACGAATGCTCTGTGGGGACAAATGCACCATCTCAGGGGCCCCTCCACGGCCCCAGCCCCCACCCGCAGGCCCCACGCACCCACCAGGGGCAGGCTTTGAAGCCCAGGAGCTGCGTCCCGGGTCTAATTAGTCCTTAGAACAGTTCCCTGTGTTTTTCTTGATCTTGAAAACTTGCCTGTCCCCAAGTGACTGCCTCCCCCCTGAGCCAGGAACAGGGGCTCCAGATCCCACTGTGGCTCCCAGGGGCATGGTGCTGCGGTCTGTGGCCCTCAGGCCCAGGCTCCTGTCCCTGGATGCAGGGCTTCCCCCCCTTGCACGGGTCCTGCCCAGCAGCCGCCATTCACTGGGTCCCGGACATTTATGAGACCAGTGAACTCTCGAAGCTGTTCTGTGAGGCAGGATCTTTGCCCATTTCCCAGGCCAGGAGAACCCCCCACCCAAGGCCCAGAGCCAGGTCCCTTGACGCTGACCCCAGGTCCCTCCTCTGCTCTGGGCTGGTCCTCAGCCAGTGATGGGCTGTCCTGCCCAGGGGCACCCAGCTTGGCCAGTCTTTGGCTTGGGGTCAGTCTGGCTCCTGTAATGTGCTAACCTCATGCCATTAGCTTGTCTGTCCTTTACCAAAAGGGTACCACAGGCCAGGCAGGACTCTGGGTCACCATGGAAGCCAAGGTGGGGTCAGCCCCAGGCCCTCCTCCAACAGGAAGCACTCTCTGGCCTGACTGGTCCAGCGGCTGACTCCTCTGGGCTCAGGCTCCCCGGCTGGGTTGTGCGCTGAACAAGGTCAGTAGAACTCCCTTGGGCACATGGTAGCCCTTCCACAAACATGGCCTTCCAGCATCTTCCTTCCTCCACTACCTCTCCTTCTCTCTCACAAATTCCATTTATGTCAGAAACACCCACTTATCGGCACTGAGGTCTGTTCACACTAAAGTCTGTTAGATTTGACCCAGGGACCCAGCCAGAAAGGTCCCATTTCACAGATAAATCTGAGATGCAGAGAACTTAGGAGACTTGCAGGTGGGGTAGCTGGGACACACCCCTGAGCAGCTGGACGTGGAGAACAGAACTGAGTCCCAGTTCTGGGCTCTGCCTATCCTGTGCTATAGGGGCTAAAGCATACAGTTGGGCAGGTTGTGCACTGCATA